AACAAACAAACAAGTAACAAAATATAAATATATTTATTTATAAATTGTGGAATAGAATTTTATAATTTTAAATATGTTTGTTTTTAATATTTATCAATTTGGACTTACTTATACAGGTGAATTTTCAACTCCATAAATATTTTTACAGGTGCCCAATTTGTGATCAACTACACACTAGGAAAATCCCTTCCTTATTTCCGTACAGACATTTCACCTTTTATCTTTGTTGAGCTGTATCAAAGTTAAAATAAAAACACGAGAACGATTTTTTTTGTTTCTATAGTTACCTCTTAACACTAGAAATATTAGTGGGAGTCCCCACCAGATTTTGAAACACATTTTTCTAAACTATTTATAAAACCAGACTGTTTATTGGTCTACGAGTTCGTTCATTACAAAGTTTGTTTGTAGTTCAGCATAAAGCTACACAATGGGTTTTCTGTGCTGTGCCCACTACGGGTATCAGAACCTGATTTTTAGCGTTATAGGTCTTCGGACCTGTCGCTGGGGCGTTCCTAATTACGTGAACTCTAATAAAGTACGAATCACACAAATATGAAAAAAAGAAAATAAAAAAAAACGCTCCCCTTGTAACTCAGCTGTAAACAAATGAATAAAAAATACTTAAATTCGGTGTTTGATCCCTGCTTTGAACACAGCGTAGATAACCCATTATTTTGCTTTGATTTTAAACAAAACCACAAAAAAATCAATTAATCCCATCACAAGACTTTACTCGTTTTTTTTTAACACCCAAGTGGCTCAGTGGCAAACTTGAGGGTTGTATTTGTACGTTAAAAACCGGGTTTCGATAACTATGGTAGATATTCTATTGTTTTGTTCCCGCGGATTACGAGTCGATCGTTCTAACCAATAGTCTTTCACGAGTGTTGTAACAGCAAAAAAAACAACAACAAAAAAACACGTTAGAATGTATGGACCCCGCTGGTACTATAAGGGTTAATTTCATCGTTCGAATCGAAAATCACTGCTCACAATTCCAGACATCAGCCCCCAAAATGTCTTTAAAAAAATCAAAGAAGTAATTTTAACGCAGCATCATCGAACTGTCTTCTGGTCTATTTATATAGTTGATAAGATTCTGTGAAAAATCTGATTTATTACTTTATTTATTTATTAGTAATTTTCCAGTTGATTTTCGGGTCATAACAGAAAAAATATTAACGCAAAGCACGAATTTTCTTAAACATACCATGAGATACTTATTTTTTGAAAGCGCCATCTGTTGGCTAAAAACAAAATTAAAAATGCGCGACTACAAATTTCTAATCAGAGCTACCAACTAACTGCCTTGTCTACTCATTAATAATCGTTCTTGTTGCTTGTTTTCTTATTGCAAAGCTACACATTGAGCTATAAGCACTCTGTCCACCGCGGGGGGAATCGAACCTTGGATTTAGCTTGCAAGTGCGTAAACTCACCGCTAACTCATCTGGGGACTCACAGTAATAAAATAATTAACTAAATAAATATTAAATTAAATTATACAAAGAAAGCGAACCTGGTCAATATCGTGCATCAGAAAAAACATTATTACAATCTTTAAGCTTTGCTTTGAAATTATATTGTTACTTCTCCGTTCGTTAGTTAATTTTCCGTAAATTTCGTTCCGACGAAATTTTAGCGACACAAGTTCTTTCTTAAATAAAACTGGTTTATTCTTTCTGAATACAACTTTGCAATACACTTAATTTTAACAGTCGCGGTATAACCAACGCTATAACTCACAATGAACGTCTCACGTGCTCAACAATATTCTCTGTCCGCATACATTCAATTACTCATTACCTTCTTGCCATCACGTTGTGACCGTCTTATATATAAATGAATACCGAGATCTAGTAAACTCCCGATATTTCAGGAAGGGACGTGAACGTTCGAGAAGCTTGTGGCGTGATACTATAGTCACGTGACCTCCGATGTCGTAACAATATATTTTTCTTAAAACCTTTAAGGACCTTTTTTATAAACTTTCCATAAGTGAAAAACAGTGGCTGATAAACTTCCGAATATTTATTGAAGGAAACAAAGTCATCTTTACAGTTTAGTGAACTTCTTTCATTTTAAACATTAGACAAGAATGTACATTTTACTGTACGTTAAGATAAACATGTTTTATTTGTTGTAAGTTACAGTGCAAGCGAGAGGCTGTTTTTATACATATATTGGTATAAATTCCTCACCTGGCGCCACTAGAAAGTTATTCAAGTCTCAAGAACTTCTCTCGACACCAGTAGGGATTAAAGATGTTTTTTTTTTAGTGTTGCTATTTTTTAAACACCTTTCATTTAAAATCCATAAACCAATCATTGGGATCAAATCTGTACTCAAGAACTATGCTTTATCTCGAAATTGAGGCCTAACACTGATATTTATATTGTTACGTTTCCGTTTGTTAATTGATTTTTCCGTAACTTCGTTCCGACGAAATTTTAACGACACAAGTCTTTACTTAATAAAACTGGTTCATTCTTTCCGAATATAACTTTACCGATACACTCAACTTCA